ACTAGGCCATCCAGACTTAGAACATGGATCTAGGTCAAGCCGGACAGCACAGATAGATGTAGCTATCAGAATTGGATCTCCCATGTATGTATGCACATGAGTAAACGAGCCCCCCGAGCCTGCCTCATCCTTGCCAGCTAGTCAGAAAGCACGAACAAAGTCAGCGAGGCCCCCTGGGCTGGCCTCCTTCCCCTCTTTCTCCTAATCAACGAGGTACCCCTGCCTCGCCATGTTCCTCATCTCTAATGGCTCCCCGTCGCTGGATCCGCCACCATCGATCGCCATCTCCTAACCGGTTTCTCCTCTTTGCCCCCACCGTTGACACCAGTGCTCATTGTCCATTTCTAACCCTATGCTTCCGGCACCTCATCGCCCCCCCTATATCCACCACTCACCGTCGGTCCTCTGTAGCCCATGGCCATCCCTCTAAGCCCCAAAGAAACTTTCTTCTTCCCTTCCCCCAACGCCCCTCCTATCCTAGCCCCGGCAAAACCCTAATTGTATGTCCTCTGTCGAAGTTAGGGTGTCATCGGCGCTAGTGAACGAGGAGGCGCTCGTCGAAGTTGGGGAGAAGGAGCCCAAGCCACTATTCTTGGCGCGGATCTAACGGTGCAAAATTTTTTAAAAAAAATCCCCAAATTTCTATTGAATACCATTTAGTAAATCCATTAATATATGCGGGTGTCCAATGGGTACACTACACCACAACCCACCTTTCCCTACAATTATGTGTTGGTAAATCAAGGGTTTTGGCAACCCATAATGTGTTGGCAATTCTTTACTTTTTTAGCGTCACTTAAACTGTCGGCAATAGTAATGTAAGGCTACAACTTATATGTCGGCGTTTCTCCTTCCAACACATAAAGTGTCAGCGAAAGTTTTTAGACAAAAAAAGTGTCATTGTAGCCTACCTAAACCACTGTCTAAGTGTCGGCGAAGGGGGTAAGCCACTAAAACAGGAGGCCCACCCTTCATTCCTTACTTCCTTTCCACTTCCCACCCCTCTCCTGTTGCATCGCCTCCCCTTCTCTACCCTTCCCTCCTCTCTCCCGCTGCGCCACCAACCCTAGCCAATGGCCACCAACCCTAGCAGCCCCCCCCCCCCCTCCCCTCTCTCATTGCTGGCCTTGGCCGTGGGAGCGGCCACTGGGATGGTGGCGGCGGGACCCTCCTCTCGTCTGGTGGAGTGGCGGCACGGGATGACGCGGGCCGGTGGGCCGGCGAGCGTAGCCTCACCCGAGCCACATGGGGCTCGATGAGGCCGCCTGGCCGTGACTACGATGGCGCCAGCTAGAGGCCTGGGCAGGCACAGGGTGGTGGTGACGGCGGCGGGCTTCTCTTCCACTTCTTCCCCTCTGTCGTCCCCTTTCCTCCTCGCATGACGGCGCCGGCCTGGGATGCTCCAGGGCCTGGGCTGGCGGATCCGGTGCTCTGGTGGCCGGATCTGTCACCCCCAGGTCAGGGGGCGGCGTCGGCGGTGGCGAGGCAGTGGAGTGGAGAGGGGCCAGCGGTGGAGTGACATGTTTGGCTGTGCATTATTAGGATTTTTGGTGGCTTAACAATTGAACCTTTCGGTGAGTACATTTGCGGACATGGAGGGTGAAGAAACATTTGATTCATCATTCCTTGGACATCTTGATGAAGTTGTGGAGGAAAAAATTGCGATGATGATGTTGTTATTCGGTGAAAGGCACAAAGAACACCAATAGCGGTTTGTACTTTTTCCATACCAATTTTAAGCAAGTTTGCTATAGGAGGAACAAATTTAATTTGAAGGTAATTGCATAGTGCTTGATGATTTTCTATTGTGCAGTCTCTATAATACTTAGAGGTGCAAATGACTTCATGCTTGATGAGATTGACCGGTCCTTGCATGATGCCCGTGCATTGTGAAGAGAACCACGGAATCAAATATGGTAATCCTTGTGCTTCTATTCTTTCATGTCATCATATGTTGGTTACCTACAAATTTGAATAAATCAATGCTTAGTGACAACTTTCACTTTGTTCTTACGTGGCTTGTGCATTGAGGATTTTTCATGCATGGAGGAGGAACCTTACGATTCAAAATGCAATTTGATTTTATTTATGAGTGGACAAATTCTAATTGTTAGTATCATTGATCATGCTAGTGTCTCCAACATGTTTTGTATTGGGTATGTAGGTTGTTCTTTGGTGGTGGTGCGAGTTGAAAGCTGCGTTGTCGATTTACTTGGAGAACCTTGCAATGACCCTCGGTTCTCGGGAACAAGCGGCAATTCTTTGAATTTGTTGAATCTTTGTTAATCATACCAAAGGTTTGTATCTGTTCTATTTAAGTAATACTTTACTTTTTTCACCAATCAACATAGCATATTAATGACCTGACCTTGCACCCTTGGTACTATATGTTAATCTTTGCAAAAGATGCAATCGAGCTTGTAGCAAAGCTTAGGGCATATCATCATCTTGCTTTCGAGATAAAGGCCGATAAGCAACATTATTCAAGGTAATGAACTAATGTCATAACATTGTCTTGAGTTATTTGATTAATAGAGCCCTTAATTCTTGTGTTTCATTTCTAAAGTTCAACTACGGTTTATGCAAGTAGTTCAGATCCGGCAAGTAGTTGTAGTGGTCAACTACTGATTTTATGCAATGCGTCATCGTGTTACTTTGATATTATCTTTGGTCGTTGTTGGACATTTTGTCGACTTGAATGTAAAGGCTTATTCTTCAATTGAATTATGATTGCTATTATAAAGTTGTACTCCCTTCAAATTATAGGTCACTTGACGTTGTAGGAAAATGCACCAACATCATTTCATTAAATCCACCATGAAATATTTCTTGATAGTTTTCTTATTTTTGTCTTTGCATACATCAATGTATTTTTCTATAACTGGTGAAGTTAGAGAATTTTGAATTAGGACAAAGCTAAAGTGATCTATAATCTATAATTTGGAACAGAGGGAGTCTTTTTTCAGTTATCATGATGCATGTCAGATGTGACAATGTTGTGAAGTGTGAACTAATCCGTATGGTGTGATTAAAAGTGGTAGTTCTTTAATTAGTCAAGGAACAGGAAAGATAGCTTATAAGCTGTGCTAACCATTGTTGTCAATTGTTATTGGTATTAGTTTATAAGATTTGTACTATGCATTTCTATTTGACATTAATGCTATCCCATTGATGTTATCTAGTAAAAATATAGTAGTAGTATGTAGTAAAATAGTGTCATTATCCCAGGAACCATGGTAGCAATGGTATCCCGCTGAGAACAAGCAACTGCCAAGTGTGCTGCGAGGGATTCTTCTGCCCCCGCGGTCTTACTTGCATGCTCCGTGAGTTTCATCTCTCTGACAAGTTCTAAACACTTTTCATCTTATTGGCGTTAGCAGGGTCAGTAGTCTCTTCAAGGTCACCATCATCGTCTGACAATTCCTTTGATGTACTGTTGGCTGGCTTGCCTTGAAAATCATCATCTTCTATGACATTAGAGTTTGTAACTAGGCCTGCCCCATCTATGTCACCTATGTGTAGAATTAAAGATACGAAAACAGTACACATGCAGCATATCTTCACACTGCCAGTATGCAAAACTGGTGCCAACAGAGTTGCATTACCAGTGTAGCTCATCAACAGAGTTGATGTGGACTATTCGATATAATCTGAAGCATGATCGAGACTTCATTTTTAGCCTTATATCCGATCTCACCAACTTTGCTCATAGTTTAGATCATTCTTCCGAGAATTATCAATGGGACACATCAACCTCAAGCAAACCACAAAGATAACCCGAATTGACATTTCTACTCACCTCCTCCTTGGGCATCAGTTAACCTATCCCCTCTGAAATCTTTGGTGAGATCGGATCTTCTCGTATGTAATTATCACGAAGACTAACCTCTAGTTAATGGTTCACACTTCACAAATTACTCAAACCAAGGTTGGTAATCAAGTGTACTAGGATAAGTGAAATTTGCATCTAATGTCCTATTGGAATGATCAATTTGGGAGATGGTGAGCTCAATAGGATTTGGCATCTAACATGCTTTTAAATCAGACCACATCCTGTTATCCTAAGGCACTACTTCCTTTGGAATCTTCCCACCTTTTGCATGTTTACCCAAGTTGGTTCATAGGTGACAAGCACTCAATTATGAGAGGTCATAAATACTATCAAAGGAAGCTTGAGAAATCAATTCATGAAGTATCTGAAGCTTGTGAGTTGGGTAGCCCAACGAAGATTCTTGTGATTTAGCTTCACGAAATGGACTTACATATACATTATCGCAACTAAGGGGCAAAGGGGTGGAGTGCGGCCAAGATCTGCGAGGTTTACATCCCATTAAGCTCTAGAAAGCCACTAGTACGCACATCCTTACCCACATAATATAAGGAAAAATATACATAGCTTGAAGTTTTGTGGAACCATTGGATGCAATGGTCAATAATTCCTTGAAAATGCCATCGAGGAGAGGATGCCTGCAGAGACCGGTTCATATGGATGCAGGATGGGCTTGCGCCACCAATCCGGTTCAAAATCCAGGAACCATGGTAGCAATGGTATCCCGCCGAGAACAAGCAAGCGCCAAGCGTCTTGCGAGGATTCTTCGCCTCATGGTCTTACTTGCATGCTCGTGAGTTTCATCTCTCGACAAGTTCTAAACACTTTTTTTTTTTTGTTGAGTGTTAGTTATTATATTATATTAAGTAGTTCAGAGAAATCAGTTTATTGGCTTGTGATGAAAACTTCAAAATTCTTGGAGCTTGCATAGTGGTAAATCCTCTTGCATGCTTTTGTAAATTTCAGTAACTTAAAGACTATGTTTGTGCTATAAAACAATGTTGTAATCAAGCTGCATTGCATGGTGCTTGTGCCTGCTTGCTTCTTATCATATACAAGCGCTTTCGGGGGTGCATTGTGATTCAAACTTTGCCATTCTACGCAGGTGCATTGTGCCTGCTTGCTTCTTATCATATTCAACTTCTCGGACAAATTCCTCAAAGATCCGCGAATGGAGGAAAGCAAGATCAAGGAGAATGCCATTGGTGGCTCGACAATGAAATTGAAGGCGCAAGATGGATGGAAGGCCGCAAAAGCAGGTTTGCAAGGAGGCATGTGAATAGTATGCGAGGTCATCTTTCACGCACATTTTCACGAAGGTCATTTCGTCGTGAGGTCATCTCTTAACTTTATCCATAATCAGTTAGCACAAGACTTGTAGTATATGTCTATATATGTCTTCTAGTGGCTCGTCTATATCCACGGACTTATATGTATGGCTCGTGTACTATGATCATCACTTTGACTTGCAATATCCATTTGATGTATGTATGGAATATTTAATATATTATTTCTACAAAATCAAATGAATTTGCTCAATGTGATGCCTTCTCTATGAACAAAAGTGGATTTGTCAAATCATTCAAATTGAATTGATATCTATATTTGCTATATAGTTTTGCCAAGCGGTTTACTTGCTGACGACGAGGCATGTTTCAAAAAAATGTTTGGAAATAGTTTCACCAACATATAAACTGTCGAGAAAGGTCTTAAGCTGTCGGCGTAGAGGTCTTAGCGTCGGCAAAGGGTTAATCGTCGGCAAAGGTTTTAACTATCATCAAAAAGGTAGACCGTTTGCCTACACATAAAGTGTCGGGGATTTACATTAAGCGTTTAAAAAGTTTCGCCTTACGGCTTCTAAGCGCGATGTTTTTAAGCTGTCACAAAACTTTTTCATGGAGGTTATCTGTCGGCAAAGGTGCCCTTTGCCTACAATAAAAAGTGTCGGCAAAAGTATGTTGTGTTATAGTGGTAATGGGTATGGATAGGTTGAAACCATACCCATACCCACCCACATACCTCTTTGGTTTGGAGGAAATTCATTTTGAAGGAATTAAATGTGAAAATCCTTTAAGGTTCATGCGTTCTGAATAAGCCTAGATCAATGGGTAGATAACTTAATAAGGCTTTGTTTGGCTGAACGTAGAAATCAACCACGTGGGCTGTCATCAGGCATGGAACGGGTGGTCACCCAATCCCTCTCCCACCAATCCCATCCACCGTGTATTGGAGTTGTTTATTTGGATGATCCCACCGAGGTCTGAGCCACTGAGCCGCGACGCTCGAGCGCTTCCACGCCTTCGGTGGAGATATTTTTCTCCCCCGTGGATCAACGTGTATCGAGTCGTTATTCACGCCAAAACACGTCTATTCCGTCCCTCACCCTCCCTCTCCCTCCGGCTCCCCCCTGTATCTCTCTGACTCTCACACCCACACGTTTCGATCGACTTGGTGTTTGTTTTCTGGACGTCCTGGCCTCCCTCGGGAGTCGTCGGTTCTCCTCATTGCCTTTGGCCCGGTCGCCGTCGCTAGTCTATACGCCAAAGGCACACATTGCCGCCGTCGCCAGCGCCACCACCCTGCTGTGTGTGTCACTCTCGATCCTGCTGCTTGCTCCGGCCGCCTGGCTGGCGTGCAGATGGACAAGGCGGCTGTCGTTGTCGCAGGCATCGGAGTCAAAGACGATCGAACTGAGCTGCAGCTGTGGGCTTCCGCTGTCGGCTTGGGAGGCAAGGTGCAGGTGCTCACTGCTGCCCGCCGACGCATCGGCTCGTTGTTGTCGGAGGCGGAGGGCAAGGAGATCCAGAACAAGGCGTTAGAGCTGCGCCTCAGGGAGGCCTCGCATCAGGCTTGCCTCTCCGACGGCCTCCTCGGCGAGCTCGAGTACTACCGCATCCAGGGGGAGGTGGAGCTCGATGAGCTCCAAGACGACGCCGACGCCAACGCCGATATGGTCAGTGCAACACCCCAGATCTGCAGGCGATGTCAATGAGTCATGACATAATTGCACATGCTTCCAAAGAACACTATAGTACATGCATTCACAAAAATACCCATTCCATTCTGACCAAATTATAATAAAACTACAGATTTATGTTGTTGTATCTTAAAACTACAATTTAACATAAAATTTATCAGAAAACTACAGATTTTAGGCGGCCAAGTATCACAAAACATAGATTTAATACTAGAGTTATCACAGAATCTACAGTTTAAATCCCTACCACTACATACTGTTATGTTAGAGTTATAAATGTTGTAGTTTTGTGATAATTTTATTACTAAATCTGTAGTTTAGTGATCTTCCATCTTAAATCTGTGGTTCTTGATAAATTTGGTCGTAAATCTGTAGCTTTGTGATATACCTCTTCTTAAATATAATCTATAGCTTTGTGGTAGTTTCATCAGTTTTGTAAATTTTACTCATAATTTTTTGAACAGAAATTAGTACCCTCCTCATCCCAATATAAACGCAACCTAATACTACGAGAATCTATAAAGAGGATATTTCGCAATGAAGGGAGTACATGCTATAGTTTTTTACACATATCTTTGAACAGAATATTAGTACACGGAATAGAGTTTTTAACAGAAAATAGTACATGCTATTTTTAACAGAAATTAGAACACGGAATAGATAGATATTTGAACAGAAAATAGTAACAGAAAACAGTACATGCAATAAATTTTCGTTGTTATTTGACAATAATTACACACGATCATAGTCTGTTGGCCACCTAGCTAAAATGGCTATGCCTAGTTCGATGAATTTCTTCAACTTGCATTAGCCCTCTTTTTATTTGGATTGCCTATTTCTTCGTAAGTTGGGTAAAGATTAGTTCTCTTCCAGAAATTTTGAAAAATTTTACAAAATTTTGAAAACTCTTTGAATGTATGTATGAATATTATATATAAACAGAAAATAAAACTAATTAAGTTTTTTAAAACAGAAATACACGCAACAAATCTCAACAGTACATGCAATAATTACACACGGCAGGCCTGTTGGCCACCTAGCTTTGATGCCTATGCCTAGTTCGATGCCCTCTTCAACTTGCATTTGCCCTCTTCGCATTTGGATGCTGCTTATTTCTTCGTAAGTTGCATGAGTGTTTGGGATTAATCCACTCTATATTTTCTAGCTTCACTTCATATTTTTTAGCTAAGAGCAAATATAATAATAGGCTCTAAATAGACTGCATGCTAACATAGAGAAGAGAGGAAAGAGAGAGAAGAGAATAAGACTGAGCTTATGCACAAAAACCAAAATTTATATAAGCTGGCTAACTATTATACGAGTACGTTGATAGATTGGCTGTAAGTTTTCATACAGCCACCAGAGGGCTGTATTATTAGTCTTACTTTAAACGGTTTCAGCTTCACATGCACTCTGCTCGAGAAAAAAAGATAAGCGTTGTTGGAGCATCTAAAGAGAGTTTTTTTTGAGCTATTTCACGATAAAATTTATAGTACAAACTTTGTGAAGTAGTCAAACACTCGCAGTTGAAAGGGAGTGTGCTCAATCTTCTTCTTTCTTCTCCGGTCCCCTGTTCTTTCTTCCTCTTCCTCTTTTCCCCCTCTCCTCCATGACATCTCCACGTAGTCCACGCTGACTCCGCACCCCCCCTGTATAAAAATAACTCGCCATTTTTTTTGACAACAAAATTAACTCGCCATTAAAAGGTATCCACATATATACTTGGCTGGAAGAGAGCTAGCACCGTACTGGTACCGAACCTCAAACTCAAACCCGCTAATTCCTAAATTTACTTTAAATTTTGGGGCATTCATGTTTTTACCTCTATTCTCAATTGCAATTGTTATGCGCAAAAAAAATTGCCATTGTGATTTTACAGCTTTTTTCAGATTTTGTAATTTTACCCTCACTTTTTTAAAATGGAGCTCAGGTCTGCCCCTGTTATGTTAAATCATCTTAACGGTCTCAACTCTGGTAAAAAAAAACATGAATGCCCCATGTTTACCCCTAGTGCCCCCTGGTAAGGATCATTCTATGCTCCATATATATACATTCCCAACAGTAACCAAATCAGTTCCAGGAACTAACCATCAGAATTCATTAGCCTACTATTAATCGCTGGCCACAAACTCTATCCAGATCCATCCAGATTAAGGGGAGAAAAAAAAGTGAAAACAATATCACCGGTGGCTACAAGTTTCCTGGTTTGCAACTAAAATTTGCCATGCCAAATTTAGGTAAAAAAATTACCATAGATTTGACAAGTGAGATGTGAGAAGTTGATAAGTTTTAGTTACAAATCAAATAATAGCCAAATTATGGCTTGCTAAATGCTAGGCATATTTTGAAGCCAACCGTTAAAAGAGGAAGAAAAAAGGTGAAAAAAGGAGCGGAGCAACAGAGATTGAAGAGGTTTTTCTTCAGGCGAAAGCAAGGCTCCTGCAGTACGTGCATCCATTTGTTCCTGAGATTGAGCGGCAGCAAGCCGCACCCAACTGCCCTCCACGTCCGTCCGTGCCACCCCTCCCCCTACTGCAGGGCCTGCCGCCCCAGGCCGGTGCAGGGGAATGGATTAGCAGAGGTGAAGTGCCCCTCTCCTGCCTGCTCTGCCCGCCCCCGCGTGCCGCTTCCGCCATAGAGCCGCTCGCTCTGCCACGCGCCGCCGCTGGGTTCGGGAGGGCGTCAGGAAGTCGATGGTTGGGAGGGGATGGAGAGTGGTCGGTGTATTTGGATAAATAGGTAGGGGTAGAAGAGTATTTTCTTTCTTAGTCAATTTTTTATTTTTTAATTCCTCAATTTTTTATTTTTTTAACTCACTTAATGTGGGACCATCACTATATGCAAAACTAGTTTGCCAATAACAATGCTGTCCAAAACTTGTTTCTTTATTTCCACACTATATGCAATGGATACTTCCTTTTTTAGCACCAAATTAACATTCTTCGTTTGGTTTTGTTCTGCAGACTGTTCCACACATTGCCGGCACAATGATCCAAGCTACTAATACTCGTTTGGTACCTCACCTTGAAATAACAGAGAAGGATAATATATCATGTGAGATAAGTGAACACGTCAAACAATGTTCCAGGATGATCGATGATATAGGCATGGCTCTTGAGCTTGAAAAACTGGATCGCCAAATGCTCCAATTTTCCCAGAACTCAAGGACGGATGCTAGGGAAATGTCATATTTTTCTACTGAACGCAAAATTTATGGTAGGAATGGAGAGAGGGACTTGATAATAAGCAAATTAACGAGTGAGGAATCCAATATGCAGAATCTTTCCGTCCTCGCAATTGTCGGTAATGGAGGTGTGGGGAAGACAGCCCTAGCTAGAATTGTGTACAAAGATCCAGCAGTGTCAGAGCATTTTGACAAGGTTCTGTGGCTCTATGTTTCTGTTTATTTCAATGCAGTCAAAATTGCACGTGAGCTGTTGGAGCTATTGCATGGTGATAGATATGAAAATGTCACTGATTTTAATGAGCTCCTAAACATCCTTGGATATGAGATGAAGTCGAAACGGGTGCTTCTTGTTATGGATGATATGTGGGAGGACAGCAAGAAGGAGAAATGGGATGAGTTCCTAACTCCTCTAATCACCAATGGTGTAAAAGGAAACATGATTATAGTAACAACACGAAAATCGTCTGTAGCCAGAATGACAGGAGCAACTCATGACATTAATCTTGACGGTTTAGAGCCTGAAGATTTTTGGTGTCTGTTCAAGGAATGTGCCTTTGGGGATGAAAACCATATAGGGCACCGGAAATTGCAGAGAATTGGGAGAAAGATAGCTGTGAAGCTGAAGGGTTATCCTTTGGCAGCAAAAAGTGTGGGAAAACTACTAAAGAGGAAACTTGATGATGAACACTGGACTAGAGTTTTGGATAACACTGAATGGAAGAACCAAAAAGATGATAATGATATCATACCAGCACTGAAGATCAGTTACAATTATCTACCAAAACATCTCCAGAAATGCTTTTCTTACTGTTCTGTATTTCCAAAGAACCATCGTTATGATGAAAAGCGGTTAGTTCATATCTGGATTGCCCAAGGTTTTGTACCTTTCACTGACCAGTGCACACGAGCAGAGGAAATTGGAAGCAAGTATCTAGCAGACTTGATTGATTGGGGATTTTTCCTTAGTGAACCTCCAAGATCATCTTTACTCATGCATGATCTTGTTCATGATTTAGCACAGATAGTTTCATCTCATGAATCCTTCACCATAGAGGACTTCAAGCCTGCAGGTGATTTCCAGCTTATTCGTCATGTCAGTATAATCACCGAGTCGGCATACTATGGGCAGTTTGATGGCACCGTTGAACCTAACGAGAACTTCATGCAAGAGTTTGCCAAGACCTTCTGCACATTACCACAAAAGAACATAAGTACGTTGATGCTATTTGGTGCACATGATCTGAGCTTTGCTGATACATTCCATCACCAACTCAATGAGATGAGAGCGGTCCGAGTGGTGAAGATGGAAGTGGTGTATCCTGATCTGAATATCTTGATACCCAATATCTCAGGATTTATCAATCTTCGCTATCTCGAGCTTAGCTCCTTCTACAGAGGCCTTAAACTGCAACTGCCGGAGGCTATATGTAAACTTTACCAGTTACATGTCCTAGATATAAGTAGCTTCAATGCCACCACAATTCTACCAAAAGGCCTGAACAAACTTGTCAACCTTCGACATTTTATGGCCAGAGAGGAGCTGCATGCACAGATAGCCAGTGTAGGAAGATTGATTTTCCTTCAAGAGCTTATGGCATTTGATGTCAGGAAAGAGAGTGATTTTAGCATCGCGCAACTGGAAATTTTGAATGGAATTAGAGGATCAATTAGCATCTACAATCTTCAGAATTTGGAAAGCCAAGAAGAGGCCAGCAAGGCTAGGCTCCGTTCCAAACTACAGCTAAATAGCTTGCGGTTGTCATGGTTTGATATGCCGAAATCCTTGAGCAGTCTTAACATAATAGAGGGCCTTGAACCTCCCACATGCATTAAGAAACTACAGATAGATGGATACAATGGTTCTGCTCCATCATGGCTGAGTAACAGCTTCTATCTTACTTCCTTGCAGTCTCTACATCTTGAAAAATGCAAGTACTGGTCTGCACTTCCACCTCTCCCACAGTTGCAAGAACTCCAAGAACTGCACCTGATTAACATGCCTCACATCACCAGCATACCAATTGGTCGTTTGAAGATTCTAGAACTGCGTAACATGCCGAGACTGCGACGATTTGTTGAGACGGAAAGAGACCAGCCGTACAAGAACCTAGAAGTCGTTGAATTGCAAGAATGCTATCATCTAATGGATTTGCCGTTTCAGCTGAGCACTCCTGGCACACTGACTGAGCACCTATTCCCTCGCCTTCAAAGGTTTCAGATACGTGACTGTCATCGCTACTATAATTTGCCTCCTTTTCCCCTAGCGGATACTTTAACTGATATAGATATATGGAATGCATATTCAGACTACTATATATTATTTCGACTTAGCCTCACAGATGGAAGTAGGCTATGCTTGGAGATGGAGGGAGAGAAATCTAACAGTTTGCAAGCCATAGATGAAAAAATATTGAGATTCAGCAAACTGAAGGATTTGCAAGAACTAGAAATTAGATGCTATCCATGTGTGAAATACCTGGCATGGGAGGAACTCCGGAAAATGACATCATTGAAAAGATTTAAAGTGGAAGATTGCACTATTCTATTTTCAAACTGCCTGAAACTCTGTCTGCCATCTTCAGTTCAAGAGATGGAGTTTGATCGATGCGATATTACGGGGAAACAGCTCTCCGAACTGATGTTAAACCTGCCGTTGCTTCAAATTCTGAAGGTACATTACTGCAAAAACATAACATCGTTAGCCGTCGGAATGTTTGCTGATGAACAGTACTGCTCAACGGAGGAAGGTTTGTGGCACATCCCTCCAAGTGGTTTGGTGACTCTGGAGAAGTTACAGATATCTTTTTCAGACATCATTTTTCGTACCAAGAATGGCCTTGGAGGTTTCAGCTCCCTTAAGGAAATTGATACGAGGAAATGCCCTATGCTTCTGTCTTCCATGGTCTCAGAAGCAGAATCTGTGGTATCAAATTGTTGTAGCCTCCTACCACCATCCATTTTAAAGCTTAACATCAGTGACATGGTTGATAGGCTTTTGCCATGGTCAAAGCTCTCTTCCCTAGCTGAATTACATATTTTCCGAAGTCCACTTCTGGAATATCTAGATGTGCGTTCTTGCACAGTATTACAACAGCTCAACATCGAAGATTGCTACATGTTGCAAACAATCAGAGGTTTACAGATCCCCACCTCCCTTGCTAAATTGAAGATAGTAACTTGCCCAAAACTAGCATCACTACAACTGGACGCGTGCACATCATTGAAGACTTTGATTGTCGAGGGTTGTGATTCATTGTGCACACTGGATGGTTCACATTCCCTTGCATCCGTGAAAGAAGTGAGTATATACAAAAATCCAGTTTTAGCATCCGTTGAACTGCATTCTTGCCATGCATTGGAGAAGCTCAGCATCAGAGACTGCCCTGCACTGGCATCATGGAAGGGTTTCAGATCCCTCACTGGTATCTTGTCCTTGAAAGTTCTCAATTCCCCAGGATTTGTACCATCTTGGCAATCAGCAGCACAACAAATCGAGGAAGAGGGTCATGAATTCACAATGCCATTGAAACATCTGGACATCGATGACAACGAGTTTCTCTCAATGCCAATATGCAGGCAGCTAACATCTCTGCAGGACCTAACCATTCGTGGAGTTCTTCATACACCGTCCGATAAAATAGACATCTTGACCGACAATCACAAGGCCGCACTGCTACTGCTTGCATCTTTGGAGGAGCTGATCTTGTCTGGCTTTGAGCATCTGGAGTCATTGCCCTCAGAGATTCGTCACTTTCCATTGTTGAAAACATTGAAGATCCGGCATTGTCCACGTATAACCTCACTACCGGAGGAAGGCATGCCATCTTCGCTACAGGAAATGGACATATATCGGTGCAGCAGTGAGCTAACTGAACTATGCAGGGGTATGAGTGAAAATAAAACTTTCCGTATATATAGTAATAATTATGAATTATAGGTTACATCATATCTGGCCTATTGATCCAGCTACTTGACCAAAGTAGCCTTTACAAATTTAATTTACCTTTGTCATTAACTGAAAGCTTGTTCCATCAAATATAAGAAATGTTATGTCCATTCCTGTTATGTCCATTCATTATGTCCATTCTTATTAACTGAAAGCTGTATTTATTTCTGCCAGTTCCTCCGTTTAAGAGGAGTTCCAATGCGATGCTAAAACCGAACACACTCTGAGAGTCGATAGCGTGTCATTGAAAATATTGACTTTCAAAACGAAGAAAATAGGAGAACATGTAAATACCCCTACAACGCAGCTGGTGTTTTATCTCCCCCCCTACAACTCAATTTCATACATAAACCCCCCTTTAAGTCAATTTATGTTCTAAGTTGCCCCCAATACCCCGTTTTGATCTAGTTCGCCTAGTTATTTCAATTTGTAGTGACCCATGGGCCTCCAGCATCGTGGGACAATAGGAATTCATGTCACCTCGAAAGGTTGGTATCGTAGAAATTATAGCTGGTGAACAACTTAGCAAGTTGAGCTATCCTGTTTTGCCATCATTACCTCGCTCGTGTGGGATTTGGGAAAGGTAGTATGTAGCTAGCGAGGAAGGGGGTTTCCAAAGACCCCACCGAAGGCATATGAGGTATGACAAATTAAAATAAGAAACTTAAACAATGAGAAGAAATCAACGAAAACAGGATATGAGGAAAGTTAGAAGAGAAATTGACTTGCGTGAGTTTTTAACTATGAACTTAAGTTGTAGGGAAGAAAGTGAAAACACACATGACTTATAGGGGATATTTGGATCTTTCCTCAAGACCCAAGAAAATATTCTCTATCCGCACGAGAGAGGCAGGTGCGGGCGAGACTAACAGTTGTAGCTAGCATGAAAAGAAGCGTGATGACAGCACAGTAAACACCAGCAGAAGTCCGCTCTCTCCTACCCATCCCCCGTGTCACTCTCCTTCGGAGCGGACCGGGCGGCCTCCCAACTTCCCCCACCGTCGGGGCCTCCTCGAGCATCCTCAGCACTGCCACCGCCGGAGATCCGACGGAGGACAAGGACGGTGATGGTAGAGATCTTCCCTCACACTCTCTCTCTCTCCCAGTGGTGGCTCCCAAGCTCGGGCAGATCAGTTGCTCTCTCTCTCTCTCTCTCTCTCTCTCCCAGTGGTGGCTCCCAAGCTCGTGGCGTGATCTGCACAGGGCTACGGCACGAATCTGGCCGCCGATGTGGGCAGATCAAGCGCTCTCCCTCCCGATCTGTGCGGATCGGGTGCTCTTTGCTCTCCCACCCGGATCTGCGCGGTTGGGTGCTGCGGGCGCGTCGCCAGGGCCACACGGCTGTGTCTCCAAGGGTGCGCGAAGGCGGCGTGGATGGCTGCATGGCGGGCGGCACAGCAATGGTGTAGCAGGGCGGCGTGGCTTGGAGGAGCTGCGGGCAGTTGCCGGCCGCACAAAGGCGACGTGGATGGCTACACGATGGCGGCGCTGCAGGCGGCGAGGTGCGCCCTCTACGCTCTAGGGAGGGGCAGCATGACATGGCGGCAATGATAAGCGATAAGGCAACACCTAGTAACGGTAGCGAGGTGCCACGTGAAGGGGGGTTGCAGCCCTGGTGAAAGCCATGCCCTTTTTGGGCTGACTACGGCGATGCCTTAGGACGCCGGTTTTTTCCTTGGAAGCATCCATCGATCGGCCCCCTCTCCTTGCATGGTGCATTCTTCCTAGGTGGAAAAACCATGACCTTCTGGTCAGGCAACAACGACGCTAACGCGCACGCCTCTCCTTGGAGGCGGTGGCTATGATGATCAAATGCCCTTGTACTTGTAATAAGCTGCTAAACTAGGATGGCTTGTACCCTATACAAGCAACCAATTTGTACCATATACCATAACTTTGTACTTTTCTTCTATTTTTTATCCCAAGACCCAATGTAATTGAAAAGCATATGTAATTGGACATTAGGAGATGGATTACATTGAGTTTCTAATTCATGTTCGCTAATTGGAACTCATGTCCATATAACTAAACCGTATATCTCCCTAACTCAACCGCAGAACAACTTGTCTATCAAAGAATGGTGCACACCAAGCCCTTGTCCTAGTGACCATGGCTCAGGCGAAAGCATCTCGTACGAGAGCAAGGAGCAAACACCGAGGTCGTAGAAGAGACCTCATGGAGAGGAAGATGATGATCCAGAGCTATGATCCGAGGGCAGAGGCTGAAGTACAAGGACCATTGTCACACCCGATTGTGAGGACAAAATCGGATGTAGAATCCTATGTGTGCCAGAATTAGTCACACACATAAGACAATAAATTACAATAGTATCAAGAGACAAAGCTTTACTATTTAACGAACAACAACATACATAGGGACAAATATTTATCAGAGTAGCGGAAATACACATTCTAATCTTCAGGTGAAGCCTCCAAACACTACAGGGACGGTTGACTGGGGCTACATACGCCTAGCACTCCTCAAAAACTTAACCAAGCTCCATCTTCTGTTACCCATCTGGGATTTTTGTCCAAGTAGTGAAAAATAAAGCAAGCGCAAGTACATGTCGTACTCAACAAATATAACATGGGGTTCATGAGGCTCAAAAGGTTGACACTGGTTTACTGCGATTAGCTTTTAGTGAGTCATAATTTTAGCTATTGAGTAGAACCAAGTTTAGCATAAGCCCATATGAACGCATGATCATGTAAACAAGAATAATGTATAGCAATGACAATAATCATTATTGTTCATCTTTTCCATATGGGTCCAAGGCCGCTTGTGTCCATGAGCACGGCTGATATACCAGTTTTATACTCTGCAAAGGTTGTACACTTTCACCATGAGCCGTGATTTACCCTTTCGTCCGAGACGGCCAACCTCTTGGCCCACTACCAAGGAAGGTCGACAGGGTTCACTATGAAGCCTTTCAAAGGTTCGTCTAACAAGTTAGTAGCCGCTAGGTTTTCGTGGCAAGTAGATGTAGGGCCCCTCTTTCGAATGGCACACTCACGCAGAAGTATTCATTGGAACAAAGGCCGCACTATACCCATCATGTCACAACCCTTTTGCGCCTTTCGGTAACCACTAACAAGCTAGAAAAGGTCCCCGTATTTGACTAAAGCCAGAGCCATATAGTACTCATGGTTGTACTGTAAGTGCCGGGTTGTCACTTACAGATAAGTCCTTAGGGAGAGAAACTAAAGTATTTGGAAAGTAACCAAATACTCCGGCACCCTTCTATCCATGTTACTAAAAAGCATATTTTAATGTTTATTGCATATACCATTAGTCAAGTTTAATTGAGCACTAGCAGAAATACTACCCAATGCATGATCCGATCCCATGGCTAACAAGGCACAAGTACATAGCTAGGAAATCCTTATTGCTAATCAAGGTAGACATATGCAATATGAATTAAGTGATTAATGGTGAATAGGTAGCAAGGATGATTCCATGCTATACTTGCCTTTACACTTGCTTTTCACTCAAGACAACTGCTTATAGAAATTCTTTAATCTTCTCTTCTGCAGCTTCTGGCCTCTAGCGCTTACGTACGGTTCTCTTCTACTCGTAGCAAACAACAAGCATAGAGAAACATACAAACAAGAAATAAAAGCAACTAAGAATAGTACATCAATCATAGCAAAAGTTTTAAAAACAACGTTCTAAAAGAGGGCTCGTTGTTGCTACAATCGCATGAGCACAAGAACCACTAAAGACGGAAATACGGTTTAAAAGAAACGACTATTGAGACTTATATGTTATATAAAAGAAAAAGTCTATATGCTTGATTTATTTTAATTGAGCCAAACCATGTGAAAAATTATTAAGACCATATTAATCAAAACATAATTTAATTCAAAAGTCGGGTTAGAACTACTCATATTTTATTTCCAAATGATCATATATCATTTAAGCCATTTAAACATTAGTTTAGAAAACATAAAACTTGTGAGAGCAACTAACCGAATCATTATATTTCGTGTTTGAACTAAACAAAATATAATTAAAGATCCATTATAGTTGGTGTTAATCAAGTTAACATTAATTTATAAAAGCCAGAGTTAAAACCGTAAGTTCTTTTTAATTTGGAAAGTGGTGTGAGTAATAGTTAACCAAATTAATATTTATGTTGAAATTCATAAACATGAGACATGCTAAACTTAGTTGTTAACAAATAGATTACCTAGCTACGAACTTAACGCAACTTGAATTGGTCAAAACAGAGCTAAAACGCAAAAGATATGAACTTCTGAAGTTGGATGGCATTTCTGTAAATAAATGGAACTAAATTTTTTATTCAAAATAAATAAAAACAGGTTTTTAAAAAGGGTTTGGACGGAGGCCACTATTATTGAGAACTGCAGGGGCTAGATCAAAACATGCGAAAGCACAGATGACAGTCGAATAATTTAATTGAAATGTAGGGGCTTGATTGAAAGAAAGCAGTTGACCGGGGTCTTTACCTACTGAGGTGGAACCTTGACCGTGATGTGGTGTGCACGGATTGGCTGGAGGGCGATGATGTGGCGTGGGCCGTGCTGACAGGATGGAGTTGGTTGACCAACAGTCAACAGAGGATCCTGGCCACCGATCTGATGATGGACGGTGCAGGGGTGTCTCCTTCCTCTATTCTGTTGCTACGCAGAGGAAAGGGCACCGCACGGCGGGAGCTCGCCGGCGTCGGCCGGGACGGCGTCTCCGGCCATTGTGGAGCACCGGCATGTGGCGGCGGAGGGAGAGAGGCCCATGGCGAACTCATTAGTGGGGTTCATGGCGTCGAGAAGGGGCTGGATGCAGCAGCTGCTGCGAGGAGCAGAGCATGGCGGTGGTAGAGGCTCGGCAAGGCGGAAGGCAGGGTCGTGTCCACGGATCGACTAGGAGAAGTTGAGCGGTGGTTCCTCCATGTTCTTGCGATGCCGTAGGACTTAACGGAGGTGGCGGAGATGCTCGGATGAGCGAGACAGAGGCGGCGGGGTGGAGTTCGGCAAAGGCGGCGGGGACGGCCATTGGAGGCGCTAGAGAGGGAGAAGGAGCACGGGGAGGGGCTGAGCGCCTGCGTTGAGGTGAGAGGAGTCCATGGGCAGCTTTTATAGGGGCGAGGGGCCACGGGGTTGGCTCGGTCGAGGAGCTCGGGCTCACGCCGTCAATGGCGACCACGATCTTGACGGGGCGCGCGGAAGAGCGGGTCGCGGCGGCTGCGGCTAGCGGGTAGTGACGCAGCAGGGAGCTCGGTATGCCTGGGTGCGAAGGACGTGGGCGCGGATGGCTCGGTCGCGCGGAGCCTCGACCTGGTCATGGCGGAGAATAAACCGGGGACGGCGGGAGGTAGGGGAAAGGGCCTGAAATGTGGGCTCGCCCTGGCAGCGACTGTGAGGGAGAAGGGGCGCGGACCCAGCTGTCGGTGGGACAGAGAGGAGAGGCGCGAGTGTGGGCTAGCTGGGCTGGCCCGAAGCGGGATGATGGGTTGCTCGGCCCAGGAAAAAGAGAGATGGAGTCGGAGGAGAGGTGGGCCAGCCAGATGTGGCCCAAGAGGGTGAGGGAGAAGGATTTCCCTTTTCTTTTTATAAATTCATTTTGTAGTTCAAATTCAAATCATTTTCAAACCATATCAAGTTTTGAAATACTTTTGAATATTTCTGAGTTTTTCTGAAACATAGATTTTCTTTTGGATATAAATGTTTTGAACTTATTTTTAGATAAACATTTAAATATTTTATTTTACAAATAGAGCACAACCATCTAAATCAAATTTTAATAAATTATTATCCACTCAATAAAATAAATTCAAGGGGCATCAATGCAACAAACAAATCAAATTAATAATAAAAGTTTTTAGAAAAACACATTTTGCATAGTTTAAATTGCTAAAACCCTAATTAAATCTTGGAAATTTTAGAAAATGACAAAAGCATTAATTTTATTTAGTGGAAACTATTTGTTGGCATTTCTTAGCGCAATCATCAAATGAGGAGGTTTTAAGTCCATCACCGGCAACGGCGCTAGAAATGTCTATTGGTATTTCTTAACACCATTACTAAGATTGAGTTAATCTTAGCAACGCCGCCAAGAAACATCAACTACAATAGTTCTTAACGATTACAGAAATCATCCGCAAGCGCACGGATCTATCGTTGTAGCATTTCACCCGGAAGTATTTAGGGTATCGTTATTTATATTTTCCCAAAGGAGGGAAAGGTATTAAGAGTCTAGCATGAGCATAAACATGGTTACATATTTGCATAGTGGACCATAATACATGACAGGGGTAAAACCGGTATTTCATGGATAATGGACACACATCTAGGCCAACCTCGAGGATAAAAAGAAAACAAAGAATAAAAAAATGTTC